ATAATAATGTTGTAGAATTAGGTAAATGACTCTTTAGGGCTTTTATAAATAAAATGAATGAAATATTACAAAAAGAAAAGTACAATAAAATATTTTGATTACACAATGATACATGATGGAAAAAATGCACTGACTAATTCGGACAACAAGAAATCCTGATTTTCAGCTATTTAAGACACTTTTTGCAAAAAATATGATATTGTTTATGGACTGTAACATCTTGTAATTCATAACAATGAGTAACACAGTATTAAAATAATTCAGAATATAACCATTTGAAAAAAGCAGAAAAAAAATGATGACTTCGGACACCAAATGTACCTGCAATTATAGAATCACTCATAAACACATTGCATTACACCAAATACACAACATAATGTTCTTTTTAGCAACGTCATATGACCCCTTTAAACATTATATTCAGTTTGCACTTAAGTATAACTTTTTAAATTATATTACTTCCACAGTAAGAATATCTGTTTTTAAAAGTATGCTAAAGTGTAATTTTTTTCACAAGGGTATTCAGTGTTTCTACAGTCTTGGGGAAAAAATAAAAATAAAATAATAATAATATATATATACTCACGTCACAGAACTTACTTAAGTCATGCAAATTTCTATCATCAATATACTTTTTTTCTAGATTTACTCAGCTTTACATATTTCATCAGCTAGAAATTGCTTTTTTGTAAGTGCAATGACTGCAGTCTCTCTAAAACGTTTAAAATTCCTCATCCAGTCATCCAAAGGAATAAAAGTCAAGGAAGTTCACTAGTCAGAAGCCTGCATTTTTAAGATTTCATGAATTTCTTTGAAAAGAGGCCTTACCTCAATGCACAGACAGCTGGGCTCTCCTTTCTCATTCACGGCACACTCTCTCCCAGCACCACAGAACACATTAGCACACACCTTTGATTTGCTCTGAGCCTCCTGCTGAAAACACACAGAAATAAACACCATAAATAAAACACAAACTGACACACAGCTGCAAACTCTAATTAGATACTGGGCAGAAATAAAATAAGTTTGTGCACATACTGACCCTCACCACCAGAGGGTGGTGGCAAACTTTAATATTTTAAAACGTGAAATCATAAACAAACATGAATCTCTATAGCTGGCATACATAAAGTTCACTTCTCACAACAGACAGTTTGTAAAGGATGTTTTGTGGTTTGATATATGTATTATAATCGCTCATGAAACCAGGGCAGTCACTAAACTAAAAACCTCTCGAAACAGAAACTAGCGCTGGTACAGGACCACAAATTCACTTTTACCACAAACATAGGCAAACACACTTTTACTTGCTCTTTCTCTCTCACACACACATACAGTGTTTCCTCGGTGTCTAGGGACAGAAGATTGATAACTATCTCTAAAAATGGTCGAACTCTCTCCACTCCAAACACTCCTGAGAGCCTCCTGCCACCAGTTTCCCAGACAACTAGCGGTTCTCCTTGAAAACTAGGACAACTACAGATTTGGAACAGCAACTTCTCTAACAAAGCAGTCTAACAAATAGATAAATAGATAATACCTAACAAAAGTAAAAGTAAAAAAAAATGAAAATTTATATATATATGTGAAATAAAACTTTGTAGTACATTGGACAGACCGATTGATTCATGCTTTGTTCTTGTCTTTTTGAACCATTTATAACTGATTTATGTACCTTTTAAACAAATACATAAGATCATTAATATTAAGTATCTGCTAAATAAAAGCTAGCTTTATTGCTATTTAAACTGCTATTTAATTTCTTATTAAATATAAATAAGAACATAAATAGAATTCATTAAAATCTGAACATAAACATGATGTTTAACACGCCAACAGACGAACAGTTGGACTAAACTAGGAGTGTTAATATAAAAATAACATAATAAAAAAAAAACTAAATGAATAATTAAATTAGTTGACAACAGCAGGTGATAAAATGGCAAAAAACAGGATATCGATGTCCACAACTATTCAAAAGTTTTAAGTCAGTATTTATTTATTTATTTAGAAAGAAATAATTTAAGATCAAAAGTGACAGTAAAGACATTTATAATGTTACAAAATATTTCTATTTCAAATAATTGCTGTACTTTTAATTCATCAAAGAATCCTGAAAAATGTATCACGGTTTCCCAACAAACATATTAGCTATTTTCAACATTGATGAAAATATTTACGAGTTTCTTGATCAGCAAATCAATATATTATTATGATTTCTGAAGGATCATGTGACACTGAAGACTGGAGTAATGATGCTGAAAATTCAGCTTTGCATCACAGCAATAAATTACATTTTAAAATAAAATATAAAACAGTTATTTTACATTGTAATAATATTTCACAATATTACAATTTTACTATATATTTTATTTATTAATAATCAGTCTTGGTGAACAAAAACATTTTGAAAAATCTTTAAACGGTAGTCTATATGCATTATTGAAGACAAAGGTCTATCAAAAGTGATTTACACTCTTCTACCAGCAGATGGAGCTCTGATATCAGGTTGGTTGATTACAGCACGATTAATGGGCTGTTCACACAGGACACGCTCTTTTGTTTAAAACTAACAAGACTGAACACAATGAAATGGATAACAGATTTCAACATGTTTCTAAAACTTGATACAGCATCTTAAAACCCAACAAAATGGAACAACGCGTCCTGTATAAACGCCACGGAAAGTGTTCAAGTGCATGTTTAAAATAGACAGTTCATGACTAGATTAGACATCTTTGGGGTTATTACATTGTTCTTTTCTTTTTACACTCTTCTGTCCTACTGAACTTTCTCTTCGGTCACACCTCTGAAATGTTTGATTTATGTGCAAGGTCATTGAATCTGCCTCACATCTGACAAATTCCCTTGTCTTTCCTTTTTCTCTGCCTTTTTTTCTTTGTGTTCCCTGCTACAGGACCCCCGTCTCCACAGCACAGCAAAGTCATGTGAATAGAGAGCTAGCCAATCACGTGCTGCCAAGTTGTGCCTGGAGTAACGGTTTAGGAGTTTCCTGAAATACTCCTGCTTTCTAAAACCTCCCTAGCATCCAACTATAATCAAATGCAGTCTGTGTGTGTGTGTGTGTGTGTGTGTGTTCAAGAAGGGTGTCGTCACATCTGAAATCTTGCCTGTTCTTTCCTTTCCCATGAACTGTGATTGCTGGTTCCACCCTGACTAACTCCAACACACACACACACACACACACACAACCCCCCCCCCACCCCCACCCTTCCACATGAGTCATACGATGTAAGCAAACTTTCCAGGGGGAGATTTTCTACCCGAGGGCAGTGTCAACTGTTCAACTGTTTTAAAGGAATACGGCCATTGGCAGTCTAAAACACATCAACAATCTTTTCTAATCACAATCTGCTCCGTTTGAGGTCATCAGAGGACTTTCAGACACAGTGCTGCCATATTAAAAGTTTATGGGATATTCATTTGAGAGAGTTTTGTCCCGACAATAGAGGTAGATACTATTGCGGACCAGCGGTAACAGAGGTACATTAAAGGAGAGAGAACAAAACCAAGCCTCATGCATAAATGAATCTCCTTCTCTACAGGGAAGCCATGCTGACATTTAAACGAATGAACGTTATGGCATGCTTTAGCTAAATCAAATCATAAAGCAGATATGTTTCCATGACAACCAGGCAGGAGGGCTTGAAAAGAGCCATAAAATTGACTGTAGGAGAGAGTCAATAAGAGATGGGTTACAAGACGCCTGTAGCTGAACTATGACCTCCAAAATTTCATTGCAAGTATGATGCTGTTACATTGTCTCAGATGGTTGTTATCCATCTTATGATATCTCTGTCTTTCTGAAAGCGGTTTCCTTTATTGATAGTATTCATGTTTTAAAATGCTTGTTCAAATATAATCATATAATCATATTGCACAAAAAAAATCCATTATTTTTGTATATAATACATATAAACAAATAAATATCTAAAATGGTGTAAAAGCAAATTGGTGTTAGATAAGACAAGATAAGATTTTTATTTTTTTTTTCAAAATAAAATAATGTTTTTATCGCGCAAGGATGCATTAAAACAGAAGACTTGAGTAATGATGTTCAGCTTTGAATCACAGTATTAAATTATATTTTGAAATATATTCAAATAAACAAGCGCTATTTTAAATAGTAATAATATTTCACCATATTCATGTTTTTACTGTATTTTTGATCAAATAAATGCAGCCTTGGTGAGCATGAAAGACCAAAAAAACCCATTACTTTTTTAAGTCTAAACCTCACCAAACTGTATTAGATTTATGTCAATAATTAATTTTTTAACAATTTAGAAAAAATTAACTTTACAAATTTAAAAAGGAAACAGTCCTTTTAAAATGTATTTTAAAAATAAATTTTTAGGAATGTTTAGGTATTTTTACTAGAAAACAAAGAAAGACAAAATATTGATTTAAAGAATGTTTTTGCAGTATAAATGCAATCAACCTCAAGTGTCAGAGTTGTGGTTAAAATAGTGGTTACAGATCAGTAGTTGAGTGGGAAAAGAGTTTTCCCTTAAAGCACATCTGAACAGTGTTGCTGTAGTTTATCCAGAGGGCTGTTCTGGCAGGTCGAGGGGCCGCTGTGATTGCCAAGGAGAGAGGAATAGGGGAAAGACAGAGAGCAAACATTCCTGGTGCAGAAGAGTCGAGGAATGTGCGGTTGTGTCTGACTCACGAATCATGACCATATAGCAATGTGACCTTCCGTTCAACTGGGTCCAATTCACTATAGCTAACCCATACCTCTCGTGAGAGTGATCACTAATAAGTGCGCGAGCGCCGCTGATTAAACTTCAACGGTTACGGTGCGCTGACTGCGCTCAGCGCTCGGGAGAACGACGATTACATTGGTAAGTGAGAAAATTAATTAATTGCAGCTTATTTCAATTACTTTTACCTAAACCCTTGTCATTTTTAGTTAGCCTAACGTTACACGTTTATTTCAAGAAGCTAAAAAGAAGAAACGTGGTTTATCGCGTTGTCCAGGCCTGCACAATTCTCCGCCGGGAGGTTTGTCATTTTTAACATGAATCCCTAAAGTATCTTGATAAAACTGTTGTGAATTGATCAATAATGCTGGCGAGAGTTCATGTTATATCCTAATATTTGTTTGCCCTGTAGATTGTATTGGACCTATATGTATAGGAAAAGATTAAACAAAGTTTCGGTCAAATCACCGTCAGACAGCCGTTATAAACATGAATTCAAACCAAGAAGAACAAAGAGAGAAGCTGATGGAGATGTTAACATGTTTTTCTGTGGATAACTGAGTATTTGGTGTTTGCAGTATAGTAAAATGTAATTATTTGTTTTGCTGAAGTAACGTTAATTGTATATTATTCTAAACACACTGTATTTGGTTGTTGTAGATGTTCATCTATTTCAGAGAGCACTTTTAAAGTTTTACCACCACCTTATCAGAGTGCTGAAAAGTGGAAGTCAGAGGAAACATGCCCAACTTGCTGCAAAACAATAACACAAAAGGTACATTATTTATTTTCCCTCACAGTACCAACTTTGGGGAAACTCATCAATCAGCTAATCTGAAGTTACTGATATATATTCTTCTTCTTCTATTTTCCACATATTATCATGCAGGTTCTTATGATTGATTGATAAATAAATAAATAAATATTTTGTACTGTCACTGCAGGTCTGGACTATGGAGTGCAGCATTACTTTTTGGTCATCTACATTCAGATGAAAACACCACACTCCTCTCTAATTCAAGTAAGTTTTAAGATTTACAAGTTAACATTCAATTTTTTTTTTTTGTGGATTCAACATATATTTGTGACTGACATGTTGGATGGGTGAGTAAGGTGGAGGGGGTTGAAAAAACAGTATTTCTAAAATGGAGAGTGCTATTTTAGATAGGTAAAAATAATAAAAAGTATGAATAAATAAAGAAAAATGGATTTATGTTAATCCCTGTAACTGTTGCACTATGAATTGCTGTGTTTTATATTGCTTGTCATTGTAAACGCTAATAAAAGTGTCTTAAATGATCACACAACACCTTAATGTGTTATGCTTATTTCAGTTTTTCTAGTGATAAAGTAGCTATATGGGCTGTTTAAGTCTTAAAATGTAATTAAAATAAAACAAAAATTAAATCCAAAGAATAATCCCATGATGGGAACCCCTAAAGGGTTCTATATAGAACCTTTTTCCAGGCTACAAAGAACCCTAAAGGGTTCTTTTGATTGAACCCTTAAAAAGGGTTCTATATGGAACCTTTTAGGGGTTCCATATATGAAGCGCCTGATAGAACCTTTTAAGGTTCTATATAGAACCTTTTCTTCTAAGAGTGTAGATAATCAGCACATCACAAGGCAGTTATAATAATCATTTTAATTATTTATTTTAATTAAAATGACTGATTTAGGCCACAACAATCTGTTGATGATCAGCCCAGAAGTTTAGTATGGGTATATCCTATGCTTGTTCAAATGCATCTATGAGGAAAGTGAGGAGAAGGCATATTCAGGATATAATAGAAAAGTGGAAGAGACCAGAAAGATGGAATGTGTTGAGGACAGCTAGAAGGAAAAGATCCAGTATCTTGGGAGGGAAGAGAGCTCCAATTAAATAACAATGCCTAAGAGGAAGTGTCTTCAGCTACACACTTCATTCACCCTTATAAGGTTCTGCATTTTTAACCTTTTATTTTTGAAGTATAAATATTAAAATACAATACATCTCATACGGTTCAAAATGTTGGGTTCTGTTTTAATATCTTTTAAAATGTAATTTATTCCTGTGATGGATTTTTTTCTGCAGCCAGAGTCACATTATCCTTCAAAAATCCTTCTAATATGCTGATTTGCTGCTCAATAAACATTTTTTATTACTATCAATGTTGAAAACAGTTGTGATGGGGTTTTTTTGTGTGGAAATGGTGAAACAGGATTCTTTTATGAATAGAAAGTTCAAAAGAACTGGCCTTTTTATCAGTTTAATTCATCATTGTTTAAGAAAGGTAATTTTTTTTACAATAAAAAAAATAAAAATTAAGAACCCCACACTTTTGAATGGCTTTATATAACCATTTTCATATAGAATTCATATAACAAAAAATATGTTTGTCCTACACAAGCTAAAACATCTAAACTCTAAAATATGAATGTTGAATTATAAGTTAGTGACTTCTAGGGTTCCTGTTTTCCAAAGAGAATTTTTAAAGCAAGAACATATACACCTTTCAAGACTTCCTGAGTTCTGAGGTTTATGAAGTGATGGTATATGCCTCTGCAGAAGCAGTAACTCACAGAAACTTCACTTTTAATAGCCGAATTCCTAATGTAACACACCACCCAAATTCCTGAAGCAAGATCCACCAATCAAAAATTCACTGTTACCATGGAAACAGGAATGGTGGCCACAGCTGTGAGTTCTTGCAGGCTAGCTGAGCTAGCAACCCACATAACACTGAAGAGAAATATACATCTGTCATCATTCACTCACCCTCATGTCACTCCACACTGACAGTTGAGCTTTCCTTCCTCAGTGGAACACAAACGGAGAAATTTTGAAGCATGTGAGGAACCGTTTTCGGTAGCAATTGACTTCCATATTCGTTTTTCCATAGTATGGAAGTCAATGGCTACCATCAACTGTTTGGTAACCAACATTCTTCAAAATCACGTATTTTGTGTTCAGCAGAGTAAACAAACTCATACAGTTTTGGAACAACTTGAGAGTGAGTAAATGATGACAGAATTTACATGTTACATATACAAGTTTAACTATGGGGATTTGATATATGTTAAAATAAGCTTATATCTTCACCTACCCAGAGAATGTATGTATTCTTGATATAGGGCAATACATGCTGTATATTATATTTATGTATGGGGCGGGACTTGATTCTGTGCACTGGTTGTTGATTGGATGAAGGCAGATATGAATGCAAGAAGAAAAAGAAAGGGGTGGGTTAAGCAGAATAAATGATTCAAGAAGATTTGCATACGTCAACAGCGAGAAGACTGTCAGTTTACCTAAAGATACAGTTATTATACGTAATTTGAGGGGGTCTAAATAAATAAGTAAATAAACAATTAAACATGCATGGATGAATCGTTCACAATAAGATCGAGAACTTGCATTTAGAAAATAGATAGGGTGAATGCCTTTTCATTTTCATGCCTACTCAAATTTTGTATGGGTTTGGGTGGTTTGGTTCATAGCTTTGAATGCTGAAGGGTTTTAGGAAATGGTCACATATGGACAAAATGAACAGGAAAAATGCTTCCACATCCAAGGCCGCTAAAAAAGTCCTTCTTCCGTCCTTGTCTATTCCGCTGAGATATGTTTGTCACATCTCCGTCATCCAGCTATCTGTTCTCATTTGTTTCTACTGGACCTTGTGGAAGAACAGAGCACCTTAAAACACCTCTCTTTCATAATAGTCAATGTAACTGAAAATAACAGTCGCCCATTTTCTCTTACAATAAAAGCAGATTCATGTCCCATCTCACTGAAAGAGTCTCACATGGTTTCAATCTTTCATTTGCTTTACTCTTTCCTTTAATTCCTCCTCTACCTGTTTTCGTCTCTGTTTTTCATCACACTTTGTGCCTACTGACTTTCATAAATTAGGTTTCCAAGAGCAGAGTATTGTGCACTGCTGGCTACAAGTGTATAGAGGGCAAATGCAGACTCTCAACAGAGAAAGGACAAAATTGCAGAATGAATAGGGTGAGAGAATGGCAACAGGAGGATGAGGAATATTAGTTCCAGGGGAAGAATTAATGGGCGCATGCAGAGAGCAGTGACTGATAGATTGAGGGAAGACTGAACCCAGGGCTGCAGGTTAACTGACTTCACAATGGAAGGAGGAAAATGTAGATGACAGCTTTTTATTTCTCCCCTTGACATTTCCCCCATCAGACAGTCTACAGTCCATTCACTCAGATGAAAAAGAACATTTTAGGACTTTCTCACTCCACAAACTGATTTAGAGAGTGTGTGACTTATAGCTTCATAATGGAGATCATTGTCAAAGCAGAGAGAATCATTACCTGCACATCTCACTACAAAAATGACTGAATATCACACTTCTCTTCATATATGCAGTGTAAAAGTTTGTAAGATTGTAAGTGGGGGGAGTGAATGTACAGCGCTCTCTCCCACCTTCAGTACCACGACTTGAGGTGCCCTTGAGCAAGGCACTGAACCCCCAACTCCTCCCCGGGTGCCGCAGCAAAAAAATGGCTGCCCACTGCTCTGTTGTGCTCTGTTGTGGTTAAATTTGATGCTGTCCCATAATGCTTGAGTTTACGATTACGAGTATGGGTCACCATACTTGGCCACGTCACATCACTTTTTTGTCACTTTTATATAACTAACTATAGAAATAACTGTGACTATAACTTTATGAAAGATAATCACACAGAGGAATCTGAGAAGACTTATTTTTCCATCATAACATTTAAGGTGACTCATATTTTTGCATACAAAAACTATTTTAGCAATAATGTTCTGTAAAAGTACATGTATTGCATTATTTGACCGAAAGTGCAATGTGATTTATCATTTTTATTTTATTGTAGAAATGCTTTGTATTTTACAGTACCATTACATGTATTGCCCTGTTAAATCGAATATAATTTTTAACATACAAAACCATAAAAAAAATGTTGAAAAAAATTACAACTTTTGTTCAGCAATTACACATTAAAATGATCAAAAGTAAAAGTAAAGACATTTATAATGTTACAAAAGATTTCTGTTACAAATAAATGCAGTTCTTTTGACCTTTATATTCATCAAAGATTCCTAAAAAAACAAACAAACAAAAAATATTAAACGAAAAAAATGGCTTCCACAAAAATATTAAGCAACTATTTTTTATCATTGATTAGAAATGTTTTTTGAACAGCAAATCAGCATATCAGTATGATTTCTAATGTCTGAAAACTCAGCTTTGCATCACAGTAATAAACTACATTTTAAAATATTTTATAATGAAAATAGATATTTTAAACAATAATATTTCACAATATTACTAAGTTGAATCTTTAATTACTGAAAAAGCTGCACACTAAAAAGGCTGATGTTCACTGATGAATTTGCTGGAATCAGATAATTTGCTGTCCAAATTGGCGCAGTTAGTCCTCCAATGATGCCACTTATCTTAAGACAGCTTTCACTGTCTTTGCTTTTAAAACCTGCTCAGTAAGAATCCTGTCTGAAACAACACAAAATAAAGCATGAGGTTGTCGGGTTCCTTTCCGCACAGCACTAAGAGTTTGAACTGAAAAGAAGCACCGAGGAAGGGAAGGGAGTTTGTGTTGGAGCGCTGAAGACAATCTGAAAACAAAGAGATACAGAGCAGATACTACCGGTAAAACATAATGGCTGTACCGGAAAAGAAAAACCGAGAGTGCAGGAAAAAGTTTACAGTGAACACAAGAGAAGACAGAAAAAATCTTGTTTGTGGAAATTGTACATGTACAGGTTTTTTCTGCAGCTAGTCTTTTGACTTTCAGCCATCATGAAGTAGCCAAATTGTGTTTTAATGTGCTGGAGAGAGAATAAAATCTGTGACACCACAACAATAAACTGGAATGGAAAAGAACTCATTCAAATTCAAATAAGTCTAATAGAGTCGCTTCATGAGCGGTGTAGAATTTGTAATTAGAATTTCAAGTAAAATGACAGATTTTTTGACAGAAATGAGTCAGAAAACTGAATGCAG